GGGGCGTTAGGGGTGTATGATAGGGACGTGCTCTGGGCCAGGATATATGGGGGCGTTAGGGGTATATGATGGGGCCGTCCTCTGGGGACTAGGACGTACGGGAGTGCTAGAGGTGTATGACCAGGATGCCTTGACATGACGCCATACTTTAGCAGTGACTCTTGAGTCCGGCTGCCTGCAGTATTGTGCATGGCTCAGGTGTGTTTCTGCATCTTTGTTATAAAGCTGTTTTATTTTTCCTTCAGCCCCGTTTTCATTGGTTTATTTTACGGATTGTTTGCTCTCCCTCACTAACTGTTTCCCTCGCTTTGCTTGGGCTCTCTTTCTTTTCTGTTTGTGTCGTCCTCCTTTCCGCGCGGCGCTGCATGTCTCCCCTGACCCGCTACCGTGCACTCGGGCCCCGCCTCCCTCTGGCACGCACGCGCTCGGCCACGCCCCCACCCCACCCCCAGCAGACGGCAGCTTCTGACCGCCGAGGAGCGTGGGAGGTCCAGCCCAATCGGCAGACAAATTCCTCGTACCTGACCTCCCACCTAGCAGCGGACAGGCACGGGGGATCCGTCCAGGTACAGCCCCATCTCCAGCTGCCCTTCACGTGATCTGTGTTTGTCTCGCAGCCAATCTTTGTAAGTATCTGCAAAGGCTCCCTTGTCCACTCAACCCCCATATTAATACTCTAGCCTGTATTTTGACCTCAGGTTAAAAAAGAGGTGAGGAAGCTTTTTCATGTAGATGGAGTAGAAGGCTCACTAGATATAGAAGAAGCTTCATATGTCCTGAAACGCAGTTCAGTCCCAGGGCATCTTCCCAAAGAGCAGCCCCCTCTGGGTTGTGCTTGTTCCCCTGCAGTCCGTCAGGAGAGAGGGACACACCAGCCAGAGTTATATGTAGCCTGTAGTGCGACAGGCAGACAGCGTGGCCTGTGTGTGAGGCTCTGGGAGGCTTCTCATGCACCTGACTCCCCTCCCACCGCAACGCTGCATTCTGACAGATCTGCGCATCTCCTTTCTCTGTCTGTCTGTCTTTCAGGTGGTCAGCTCGACCAACGGGGAGCTGAACGCCGATGACCCGCTGGCAGCTCACTCGAATGCCCCGATTGCGGCCCAGGCCGAGGTGGAGGTGGTGGACGAGGCCAAGTGCGTGAGAATCCCGCCGAATGACCCTGAGGGCGTTCTGCACCTCCCCGCTTTCCGTGTGTGTGTGTGTGTGTGCGCGTGTGTGTCTGTGTGAGGTGCTTGCTTGCATTTTCTTGCTCCTCCTTTTCTGGTGACTGTTTTCTTATGACACCACAGGAGCCCCTCTGACACTGACTGGAGGTGACTCTGTGCAGTGCGTGACTCTGTGCTTTCCTTATCATGACACTAAAGGAGCCGCTCTGATACTGACTGAAGGTGACTGTCACTGTCAAAGTGAGTCACACTGCAGCACAGAGGAGAACATTGAAAGCACTCTGTAGTCACTTGTTCCTCTGAATGGCTCAGAATAACACCTGACTGAAAGATGAAGGATTACTGTTAAATGCTGGACAGAATGCTGCCCATTGCATTGTGTATACAGTGATGGAGTGTATACAGTGTGTTTGACTGCAGCCCCCCGGAAAGAGCATGTGTGGGCGTGTGTGTGTGAGAATTCCTCATCCCCTTGTTTAATATCTGGATGGACTCATCCAGGGTATAGTAATGTCCCTGTTTTCATTTTTAAACCCATAATAGACATTATAGCTGTAGGTTTCTGCTCTTTTCATCTCCTGCAACAGCAGGTAACCGTTCCTGATTTGGCTGCCAGTAAGGTAGTTTTATGTGATGTGTGTCAGGGGTTGTTTTTTGCCCTGTAATAATTACGAGTGACAAGTGTCAGTTGAGCTTTCAAGTTATACACGTTAAAGCTGTATCAGTGCTCTAGCCTGCATAGCTGTCTTAAGTACAGTCACATGACTTCTAAAGTCTCATGGGATTGGTCATCAGGGGAGGACGGGAACCCGCTGCAGTCAGTGGCACCTCTGGGCAGTGTGTCTCCACTAGGCTGCCATACTTCATACTTTAGCTCCTAGTTAGGATGCCTAGCTCAGTACACTCTCCTTCAGCTGGCTTCCCCTTTATCCATACGCTGTTGGCGATGAGTATCTGCTTCAGTTAGCAGTTAGCTTTGCCCAGCATTATGTCAGCTGCCGCTGTGTTTTCCCCTGACCGGTGCCCTGGACCAGTCCTTCACACACCCCCCCACCCCCTACCCCCAATGAACTTGCCTGGCATGAGGGTTGACCCTCCACCTCACCACTGTGTATTAATCTCTGTCTTTTCTCTTTACACTCTCTGTAGCTGCGTGAAAATGCTCAACCTGTGGTGAGTCTCTCTCTCTACAGTCCACATTGAAACGTAAGGGGAGTGGACCAGACTAGACTCTCTGAATTACACGTTTTTAAAAATACTCACAGTAGATCTCCAGCTTGAAATTAAGCTGACTGGCACGCTTTTCCTCCTTAGGGCTGGAGAGATTTTCTTTTGAAAGATGACAGTTAATCCCTTTCATACTTGCCCTCCCACGTTTTCCATAACGCAAGGCTAAATTTGTTGGTGCCAATGCCCACAGCTTTGATATGGCGACTTAGTGTCTGATCGCTGCTCCTTTAACAGCAGACGCTTTCATCTCATGCAACTATCATAGTTCCAGTTTTTTAATCACCTTTTTTTAACAGCAGTGAGATGTTTTGCTTCAAGGGTAAAGCTGGCGTGAACTGGAGACTAACCTTGCAGTTCCTTTCTCTGAAATGGAACAGTCTGGCCCATATGGATAAGGGGCTGTGTGACTGCTGTGTGGAGCTGAACATCACACTGACTGTTCTTACTTTAAAACAACCAAACTGATGAAAATAATCAGCAGGTTTGCTCAGATAGTGAGAGGATGCCAGCATGTTAATGTAGAGTGCTCACTGATCCTGAAAGATGCTGCCTTCACACCTCTCCAATGTGTTTTTGTTAACAAAACCTTTAAACCTGGGTAAGGTGACCTTTTTGGCCAGTCAAGCCACGGCATGATACTTGTACAGTCCCTCCTTGAGGGTCGCGCTGAGAATTCCATACACCCAGCCGCACTTGATGGTCTCAGAAACCTTCAGAGGTCTTTTCCTGCTGTGTCAGTCTGGTGCTGTTCTCTCACCACTGCATGCTCTTCTGTTCGTCATGTCAGGCCCATACCACTGCCTGCCTGTTTTAACTCTTAGGTTTTGGTTATTTTGACATGTGCTATTGATTTCTGTTTACTGGAAATTTAAAACGTTCCCAGACGGGGGTGATACCCCTGTGCCGCGCGGCCCCGCCTCCCTCTTTGAAGTCATCTGGATGTCCTCACAGCACAGACTGCTTGTTGTGCTGTGCTGAGGTGTCCTGTTACTTTGTGTGTTTGCCTGCATTGGCATGATCCAGTCCCCTTCTGCTCATCATGAAGCTCTACTGTTGGTTAACCTTGCTGTCGTGTTCAGGTCGGCACCGACCCGTTTGTAATGCATAAAAGTACCACATCGATTTGTGTACTGCATCAAAGCTTTTTGACTTTGTCAGGAACCTCTATTTAAACAAAATAAATTTAAAAAAATTTCACTAGGCAAGGCATGCCATACATGTAAGGCAAGATAAGACCAGTTCAGTTTATTTATATAATTCTCATGAGGTTTATTTTACCATTATTTTTTTTTTTATTGAAAACGAGAGGTATGCTATCAAAAGAAATGTCCAGAAAGCCACACCAAAAATACTAAAACCAATGTTTTCATGGGTAAGGAAGCCTAACAAGGTAACCAAGAGGGAAGAAACAAATTGGATGATAATTGTTTTGAGGGTATTTTATGGCTGATTTAAGACCCGGGTCGGCACCGACCTGTTTAACATAAGAGATAGGAACAGAAAACTAACATATGACAAAGGTAGGTGTATATTTATGTTATTAACACTGCTCAACCAGGCAGTGATGTTAAGTTAGTAGTAAAAGGAGGTAAATCCCTGTGTCATTTGTGCTTTAACGATCTCTGCCCAGTGCGGCTTCAGCTTGTCCGGGACCCCTGTCAGAGTAAGTTTTCTTGGTCTCTCCTTCTATCCCCCTCTCAGGTGCTGCTGTTTCTTCAGGCGGAAACGGAAGAAGAATTCGCAGCGGCATAAGTGACGCCGTGTGCAGAGTGTCATCCCGCCAGGTCACTTCTCCAGGAGCCCGGCAGTGACGTATCGGCACGAGGAGGAGCTCAAGCAGAACCGGAGAGCGGGACTCCGCAGACCTGCCTAGTGCACGTGTAGTCTGCTCTTTTTATTTTGCTATTTTAGTTCTCTCTGGATCCTCCTGGAGCATTTTCGTTACGAACTGTCTTGGAACTGAGTCTAGCTGGATGAAGATGAGACCACGGACATTCCGGGCAGCTTTGCACTTATTAACCTGCTGTTCTGAACCCCCCCCACCTTGTCTAGGTTCACGCCTTCCTTATTTGGAAGTGCTTGTGAATGGTAACACACTGGTAGTCAATCTGCTCATTATCCACTTTTGGACCCACATTGGGGGGGGGGGGGGCGCATCCGGTCATCCAGCCAGCAGGGGGAGCTCTTGGATTAGTATAGATGTTATTGGCTTTGCTTTATTGCGTTATTGCCCTGCCTATACCTCTGACAGTGCGTAAGTGTGTATGACACGTGGCTCCAGGGAGATGCCGCGGTTTGGGTTTTCATTTTCCTCTGTCTGTGTTCAGTTTGTTAATCTGACCTGTGCTCTGCCAGATAGTGATCGATCGTGATGCCTCTAACTGACAAGTATCCCCCAGGCTGACCTGTAATGCTGAACATGTAGCTGAACCTCCGGGTGATATCAGCCTCTGTCAGGGCTGCTTGTAAACTTCTGGGTGAAGGGAAAAAGAATCAGGCATCAGGATTTGTCTCTCGTGGCGTGACTCTTTCGTGGCCTCTGCACCAGTCTGTGGGAAAGGATTGTCTAACTTGAAATGCAGAGGGTCGCTGCTCCTCTGAGTCATGTTTCTGACAGAGGCCACTAACGCCCGGAGCTTTTTACTGTCCCACCTTCTCTTTAAAAGCTGGGCAGCAGGGGCGGGAACCAGACTATGTAAGCAAAAGGTCAATGCCCTACCCACCCAGCCGGAGGGAGCGCCGCCCCGGTGGTTGGACTGTTCACTGCTTACTGATGAGCAGCACCTGAGCCTCATCACTACCAGCGACGGGCTAGTCCTGCCGCCTTGAGCTCTGTACATTTAATGGCATGTAAAACTCGACTGGTCGAGAAGGAACAATATTACCACCCCCCTCTTATTTTACTCTATTCTCCTAGCCTCTTATACCTCCCTCAGACATCCAGGCAATTGCAATACTTAGCCAGCACAATAAGGCCAGGTTTCAGTGACTGACTGATGCGCTGCGGACATTTTTACATCCTCATTGTGAAGCATCATGATTTTCTCTGGTCATGGCCGATCACACGGCGTTTGACTCACAGATTCCTGTGGATCTGTGCTGTGTGTCATCCGCCTTCCTGTCCTACTGCGGTGGGGGTGTCCCAGACCGCCTTCTCATGCCATCACTCGTCCTTCTTTGAAGTTGGCGGGTCACATACCGATGGGGGGAGGGGGGGGGGGCACGGGTTCGTAGTCGGGAGCTCTGCTGTTTGATGCCTTAACCTGATCACCATTGAGCAGAGCATTTGGCCGACTTCATCAGAAGTCCCCCGAGAGTCTGTTCCCTCAGTCTGCAGCACGCCGTCCGAGCTTAGGAGCAGAACGGCACCCAGAGTGTAGAGTCTGTAGACACTGAGAAGCTTCACAAAGCACCTCATCAGAGTTCACAGATCGAACAGCATCTCCTGGCTTATTTCCATTTCCTTACTGTAACACAGCTGTCAGGTAGAAGTTCTCCTTGTTTGTTTGAAATGCAATAGCTAACAGGTTTATGAATTTAAATATATTTGCTGCAGATTAAACTCCCTGTTCTGCCCCTTCCAGTTCTTTCTTCTCTAGACTGACTGAGCTGTGCTTTGCGTGAAGTTACGAGAGGTGAAACTCTTGCCTTGCTTTCGTCAGTCCATGCCTACCTGCCTGTTTGCTGCTTTGACTGGGGTTGTCATGCTTTTATTTTTTTTATTGTGTTCTTATTCCGTCACGTATACTTAATGTGAACTTGAAATATACTGTATTTTTTAATTTATCCAAATAGCCATGCAGGTTTGGGAATGAATTCTGAATGCACTACATTTTTTAACTGATGTTACCAGTGAATTTGCCAGTCATGTACTGATTTATACTGTACTGTCCATGTCAAGATCTGAGTTGCATCTGCAACGTGAAATTTAAACAAAACCTTAATTTCCTTTTAGTGATTATGCAATGTCTTTTCTGTTGCCTTATTTCTGAAATAGCTTTTTGTGATTTAATGTTAATATACACTGGCACATCCTATGTTCCCATGTGCTTGTGCACATAATGGTTTAAATTAATTTGTGTAATAAAACACCACTCTGGTCTGAAAATCCCCCCCGTTTATGATGGGTGGGGGTGCACCCTGCACTCTGTGGTTGATTCTGTGTGCATTGCACGATGATAGTGAGGCTCCTACCAAGGGCTTGATGTGAATATCTTCATATCCATGCAGTACAGTGGGGTACAGTGCTGTTTGTTTCTGTGCCCAGTTTGTGTGTCTGGCTTTTCCCTTCACTATGTAATTTGTAGGCCTCAGAATGATGGACATCGATGTACTTGAATACAAAAAAGGTTTCCTTTTCCCTGCAGCCGTCATATGGTAAATGGCAAAGCAAATTCTTCTGACATGTAGCCATGAGTGAGCCATGTCATGTGACTGGCATCCCTTATCTGCCTCTCCCTGCCCTGCATGGGGCAGTTCTGAGCCAGGATTAGCCCCGTCCAGCACGATGCCGTGTGCTCGGCCCGTTGGTTCTGTCTCCCGTGCCTGTGCAGGGCAGCGGGCCTGATATGAGAATCTGCAGTCGGTCTCGGCCGGCGTTATGTAAGGCGGAGGAGGGCATCTCAGCATCTCGCGTTTGATCCTAGGGGCCGTGCGTGTGGCAATCGTGAGCGATGACTTTGCCAGCTTTTGTGTCAGTGTGTCAGTTTCCATTGGTCTAGCTGTGCTGCACTGTGACTCATCATGTTCTGGGTTCGGCTCCTGTCTCGTCACTCTTCCTGTTATTATTTTTTTTATCTGTATTGTACAGTGCTGGAGGGACTGACCAACCAGCTCCGGCACTGAAATGGCTAAAGTGTTTCTCTTCCAGTATCTTGGGTCTTTTCTATGTATTTTCTTTTAATGATTCCTATGACTGTATAATTATGCATTTGGGTAGAGGCTTTTGGTGGAATTAAAAATGCTCTTTTGTATTTTCTGTTCTTGGTGCCTGCCTGCGCTGCCCCCATTGATGTCAGGGCAGCCCTCAAGCCCCAAGCTGTCCGTGAAAATGTGATGTCCGGAAATGGTCAGACTGCTTTCCTCTATTTTAATTCCCCTTTAACAGCGATTTATTTTGCCATTTTTGCTTTTTATTTATTACGTAATGTTTTTTTGAGTAAACTACTCAGATGTAAATAAATACGTTAACTGATTGTCCACAGTTTAGAGTCACTCTTAAGGTTTCCCCACTTTTTTAATAATAGTTTTTTTTTTTTTAACCTATTACAATCTTTTCTGAGGACTCAAAGCCTTTGCAGCATGGTTATTTGAATATGGGGTCTTCACCTTGAGCCTTATTTTCTGAATGAGTGTGATGTGGATTTTCTGAAGATCCTGCGGTTTGGAGGCCGTCACTGCTCTGCGGCTGGCTAGCCGTCACCGTGCCCGGGCCGATGGCCCCGCCGCTGCCTCACTCCATGCTTTACCCCTTGATTTCTAAAGCACGTTCCTGCACTCTGACCCTCAGCTCAGCCTCCCATGTCACTGCACACTCCAGAGAAGGTGGATATTTTTCCCTGTTTCTTTTTTGTGTGTCAAAATAATGTTCAAATTCTCAAGAGATTGGGTTGTTGCTCTAGCTTCCCCATACTGAATTGTCTAACATTCTGAAAGGGGAGGGGCATTTAGAGACAAGCTGTATATGTTTTTTATGGTGGCCTTCCCTTCCCCCCCTTATGTATACACGCGTCTTTGTGTGCATATGATCACTTGTGCAGCCCTCTGAACCACCACCCTCTTGCTTGTTATGTGGGAAGCAGATTTGTACATAGCGGAGGATTCTATGGAATTATCAAGCCTTCTAAATGCATTATCGGTGTTAGTCATACAGAAGGTGATTCTTTTTGCCTGAAATGCGTCTGTGTGATTAATCCCGGCCCCGGGGGGGGGGGGGCGGCAGTGCCGAGGAGTCTGGCCCGTGGCTCCACATTTTCTCTCCTACCAGTTTTCCAGAGGCTTCATGTTAATTGTTGCATTTCTGGATTTCACTTTTTAATTCCCACCACAGATGGAATCTCAATGGGAGACTTAAAGTTTGCACCCTTTTTTATGTAAAATAAAAAACTTAACGTTTAATGAGTTTGGGTTTCTTTTTCTGGATAGGTGCACGATGTATCACAGACCCCCCCCCCCCCCCAGGCTGCAGAGAGCTCTGTGTTTGTCTCCCTGACAGCAGTCTCCCTGACCCATAATACTTCAGCTGATTTGGACTCACTCACTCGTAATATTTATTTTAACATCACTTTGGCATGTGTGCGTACTAGTTTAACTAGTAACTTTTTCTACAATGTTGGTAACCAGCTGAAAGTCGGCAGTAATACTGGCAGAATTTTGGGCTTTACGTCATGTTCGTATCTTAATTACTAGTAATTTTTTTTTGATCATTTAAACTGACCTAGACATATTGGTCAACTGACAGATGTTGCTTTGTCACATGTTCCTTAAGCACTTCTCAATCATGTATGTAAATTATGGGGTGGATGGGGGGTTGTAACCCCGAACCCCAATGATCAAAACCAGCCAACACAACCCCAGGACCCCCTTAAATGGGTGGCGACCTGAACCCAAAAGTACTCAACACTAATGTCATGTAACATTGTAAATGTAGAAAGGGCCTGTCACAGCAGCTGATGAGCTGTAAATGTCATCCTGTATACATTTTGTATTAGAATGTTTACTCTATTGAAATAATGGAACCACTGTGTTATGGAGGCACAATGATGCCTAGCTTTAACTACTGACCTAAGGTTTGGATTGAATCTGACAATTACCATTGCCCATGGCTGAATAAGGCCAACTAGGAGCATATAGGCCTGGAATTGCATTTTTTTAATTAAAAGTACCATTGTGGGCCTGTGTATTTTTTTGCTGCAGTATATTTAATATTTAACATGACATACATGCTAACGTGAGTAGTAAATCTGAGTGGAACCCAAATTAAATGTAAAGAGTAATTCATGAAAAAATCCAAGCGCACTATGATGCGCAGTGAGCTGCTTGGGCGTGTTCCGTGTCGCGCACCGGCCGCTTGTCTGCCGGAAACCATCAGGCCCATTTAACCTGGTAGGTGATGGTGGCTTCGCTTCTCCCCAAATCTGCTTCAGTCCTCAGACTCCGGTCTGTACTGCCGCAGTGTAAAGGATGATGTTTGCCGACATGAAGCCATATTGGATGAATTTGCTATTTCATAACGCGTGAATGTGTAGCTGGAGAGAGCGACGAGCTCTCCGCCCGTCATCTAAGTTCCAAAGAGCGTTTTGATATTTTTTATTATTTACGTTTTAATTTTATGATGTAATTTAATGGTTTACGTAGCGTTTATTTCGGTTGTTGTGGTATCTAACGAGCCGTAGCTTCTGCAAGTATAACATCGAGTTTTACTATTTACATAACAGATGTCAGTTTGTACATTTTTTCCATTTATTTCCTTCTCCCTGCACGGAATCTGTTACAATTTATTATGTCTCATAGTAAACATAAGTTGAAAACAGACACGCATAGAAGCAAAGTAAAGGAGGTCGGCTTAACTGAAAAGTGAGAAACATCAAACCGTGTTTTATTTATCGTTTTTATTATTTCCAGGGTCGAGTTAGGACTAAAACGGTGAAAGCTGTATGGGTGTTAATTGAGAAGAACTACACCCACCTTGTTAACGATTTCCACGATTTGCAATGAGGTCGCCGTAATCTCCAGGAGGCAGCTGCGCAACAAGATCGCTGCGAGTGCAAAGGTACGGGGCTCGACCAGGTTTAGGGCACTGTTGCAAGGAAAGTAGCTATTGGCTGTCCCAGAAGTCGCTAAATGACGCCATCATTTGCGCTACAAGTGAACTTTCTTCTGTCGATTTTTTTTTCATTTCACAATTCCAACCCTTCTCCTCTGGTTGAGTTGCTTTTTAAAGTTTGTTTAAGTGTACAAGTCACAGTAAACAAGTGAACATTTTTAACCATAACATTTTTGTATAAAATTACATTAACAATCTAAACGGACCAAAAAAGGACAATTGAAAAAAACTGACAATGGCAATGTGAGAAAATGATGCACATCTCCTGTTCTGACTGCAGCTGGGCGGGGCTGCTGCGCGCGGACTGGTCGCCTGTGAGTGCTTTGGGACGGGAGAGGAGTCCACGGCAGAACCCGCTCACCGGTGAGAAGAGTAATAACGATACGTGCTTTCATGTCAGAGTCTCCAATAACATCAGAAAAAGTGACTATATTTGTCGCTAGTCGCTTTTTTGAAAAGGAGTCACTAGCGGGCAGTGATGGGCAGTAACGCGTTACAGTAATTAGATTACTTTTTAAGTAACGGAGTAATCTAACGGCGTTACATTTTAGAAGGCAGTAATCAGATTATAGTTACTACCCGACTAACGCGTCGTTACTATTGTGTTGCATTGAAGACGTCAGATTAGCCAGTTTTATGCAAAAATAATAATGAAATACAGTTGCAAAAATCATCAAGCAGCCGCACACGGCGCTACGTAACGTCATCAATCCGAGACGCAGCCACACAAACACTGCAGCATGGAGAGACCACCGGAGGGAGAAAAGGGCGCTTTTTACTCGTGGAAATACAAACATTATTTTAAATTTGTTGAAACTAAGGGCAAAAACATAGTTGTACAGTGTGTCTTATGTGCGGGAGACAAAAGATTTTCAAACGCTAAGAGTTCGACTTCAAATCTATCTAAACATCTCAAAGGACAACACGGTGCTGTTAGGCTAGTGGAGAAAGCGGGGTCAGTCCCCGACACAGACTCGGATTCATCTTTTCCTGCAACTAAACAGCTCAGACTAGACTTTTCAAGTCAATGCTTCCCATATCCACAGTGGACTCGCCGTATTTTCGCGGTTTAATCGTCAAAATACCCACACGGAATAATGCACGGCTGCCTCAGAGAAAAACATTTTCTAACTATTTAGATAAGGAATATGCTACAATGGAGGCCAATCTGAGGGCCGCACTGCAGGCGGTAAACTTTGTGTCGACTACTGCGGACTTTTGGACATCTCATAATAAGAGCTATATGGGGGTTACTATACACTGGTTCAATCCATGCACTCTAAGCACTAAAGATACACTCTCCAGGATGACAGCTGGCCTGCCAGATGTCATTGTAAAGGTATGTCCCATGCATTATCTAATTACTTGTAGACCAAAAATATATATAAAAAAAAAAAACATTTATATTCAGTAATTTTTAGCAATAGTAAAGATATAGCTAAATATTATATAAAATATTTCTTTGAAATGTATATTTTCAGGCCATTCAGACTCATTTTGCTGATGTTCTTGAGAACAAGGATGCCCTCCTGGCTGCTGTTAGCTGTCCACAGTTCAAGCTTCGCTGGGTGAGGGATGACAGAAGACAGCGGCTGAAGGAGCTCCTCATTGCAGAGTGTGGTACAGTTCCTCCAGTAGATGGTAAGACTGTGACCAAGTTGTCCAGGTTGTCTGACTGGAGATTTGAGATGCTTCTTTTGATGTGATACAACCACTGTTTTTCATCCTCCAATCCCATTGACCCAGAAAATTAAGGAGTGGCAAGTTCAAAATGCTTTACGAAGCACAAGTTATGTTAGTTGTGTTGGAAGGTTTATGTTGGAAATTCTTGACATTCTCTCTAAAACTTTCTAGTGCTGCCTTAAGAATTTTTTTTT